CAGAGCCAACATTCAACCAAATTTAATATATACATCCAAACTATGAAGTGGTCAAATTTTCTTCTTTGTAGTTTGTTTTCTGTTTCTTCCTTCTATAACTTTCTTTTCAATGGATCTTTCATAATGTGCCAAAAACACTAGAGACCTTAAAGAAACCTCTAAAAATAACATAAAAATTGTACAAGTTACATATTTCAATTCAACTAGACAACCCAACTACTAGAAGTAATTTCCAGAAAAATACCTTTTATACCAAATAAGGCTTTGGTATAGAAACTAAGGACACTCAAGATTACAGTTTCATACAAAGTACCATAAGCAGTCCGGATTGCTAATCAGCAGCAGATTAGTGACCCGATGATTTTAGGAGACTCCAAGAATGCTATAAATTGGGGCCTGGAGTAGACAAGCTAGATGCTCGAGCTACGAAGTGTATTTTTCTTGGCTACTCGAGCACTCAAAAAGGGTATAAGTGTTATAACCCAAAATTTCATAAATCGTTTGTGTGCTCTGATGTCACCTTCTTTGAATCAATTCCATTTTTCTCAGGTGTCGGGGTCTCTTCTTCTCCCTCTGTGGTTCCTCTTCCTGTACCGGTTGTGGACACTCTTCCCGTAGCTCCCATTCCTATTGCAGATGCACATCATATGCCTGTTACTACAGAGAGGCCGCCAATTACTCAAGTGTATACCCGCAGAAGTGCTTCGGCCCCTCCTCCACTTCAGCACTTGTCGACAGATCCTGCTACTGCTCCTTCTCCCTTAGATCTTGATCTCCCAATTGCTCTGCGGAAAGGTAAACGTACTTGTACTTCTCATCCCATTTCAGACTATGTTTCCACTACTCACCTTTCTGCTTCTCATTGCAAGTTTATATCATTCCTCTCATCTGTTCCCATTCCCAAGACTGTACAGGAAGCCCTTACCTCCCCAGGGTGACAGCAAGCGATGGAAGAACTCTCTGCTCTACAACATAATCACACGTGGGAACTCACCACTCTTCCTCCTGGTAAGCACACTGTTGGGTGTAAATGGGCCTATACAGTGAAGTATGTTCCTGATGACAGTGTGGAACGATTGAAGGCACGGTTAGTGGCCAAGGGCTATTCTCGGTTATATGGTGTGGACTATATGGAGACATTCTCTCCTGTGGCTAAAATTGGTTCAATTCGGGTGTTGATTTCATTAGCTACTATGTATGATTGGCCTCTCGTACAACTTGACATCAAAAATGCCTTCCTAAATGGTGACCTTGTTGAGGAGGTGTATATGGAGCAACCACCAGGGTTTGTTGCTCAAGGGGAGGCTAGTAAGGTGTGTAGGCTCAAAAAGGCAATCTATGGACTGAAACAATCTTCACATGCATGGTTTGGCAGGTTCAGGGAAGTGGTGAAGGCCTTTGGGATGAAACAGTGTCAGGTTGATCATTCTGTGTTCAGCTATAACTCAAA